ACGACGACGACGACGACGACGAGGACGACAATGATGATGATGATGACGACGACGATCGTCATCATCGTCGTCGCCGCCATCGTCACCGTCGTCATGGTCGTCATCTCGTCGTCTTGTCACCTTGTCGTCGTCACCGTCGTCGTCATCGTCATCATTGTCATCGTCGTTGTCGCCATCGTCATCGTCGTCGTCATCGTCGTCATCTTGTCATCTCGTCATCTCGTCATCTTCGTCGTCGTCATCGTCGTCGTCATCGTCGTCATCGTTATCATTGTCGTCGTCGTCATCCATCTGGTGCAGAGCGTCCCCCCTGCCGCATGTTGTGCCGTCAATCGCCCTCTGACGTTCATCGCGTTCTGTCTGGGGGAGGCAACGTCTGGCTCTTCTCGGCCCACTGGGCCTCAGAGCGGCCAAGCAGCCATTGCTCGAGTAGGGGATCGACCGCAACGTTGATGTACCCCAAAATTGATTGGCTCGTGGGGTCTACGTATTCCCTCGTAGAGTCGACGCCAAATCAATGTCGGGTTTGATCAATGATGTAGTCGATCCCCTATTCGAATGGATCGAGAGTGTTTTTGTGCTAGCCCGACTTCTACTGGGAGGCGCAGGTCAGGACACAGGCTGAGGAGCTCATACCCTCACTGGCCTGCTCCCAGAAGTTTCACGCCGCGCGCCAGTTTCCCAGAAGTCCGGCAAGTGATGTGTGCGGGGGTTGACGTCCCCTCGGCCCTCCGACCCAAACTTTTAAGCTGGGCGTGGGCTTTGCCTGGTGGCACGAGCACGCAGTTCGGCGAGTGGTGGGAGGAAGCGGAAAGATCGAAAGAAGAAGATGATTCAGGAGGGAAGAAACAGACACACGCACGGACACACGGAACCGTCGACTCCCAGGAAAGTATATGGGAAAACATGGGAAGTGGGGGCGAAGACGAACGTCCAGAGAATATGAAAAAGTACGGGGGGGTCCTGGGATTTACATATGCTCATTTGCGTGCCCCTGAGCCCCATTTGGAGAAGACCGTCGACGGAGGGACGGGGCGCATCAGCGAAGCGCAGGAGAAGCGGGAGGGGCAGCAGGCGGAAGAGGGGGAGTGTGGGGCTCGAGCTCAGCTCTGGGCAGGTTCGCGATATTTCGGCGGCGAGCGAAGGGGGGGATCGAGAAGGAGGAGGCCTCCTCAGAAGGCGGCGGGACTTCTCGGAAGGCCTCGCGCCTTCTGAGGAGTTCTTTCTGTCTTCGGGGAAGGCTTAGAAAACGCTTCAGAAGGCCAGAGGACTTCCGAACCTGCTGAGAGGGCCTTCTCCTTCTCGCTTTCCTCCCTCGCTCGCCGCCGAGTATTTTCCATTCGGGCGCGCCTGATCACCTTCGGCTGCAGACTCTCTCCAGTGTCAGGCACGCTTGCCAGCGGCCAGCGGCACGCGCGCGCGGGCGAGCGCGGAGGGTGTCGCGTCTTCACTGGTGGCAACAGTGCAGGTCATCGCGTCTCGAGTCCGGCGCAGCGGCAGCAGGAAAAGCCAGGGCACAGCGCGCAGCGATCGAGACGGCAGCACGACGTCTCCTGGACTCGAGGGCATAAGAAACGCCCCTACCCTGGTTTACGAGGCGCTGTGCGCTGAAACTCCTGTGGGCTGTCAGTGTAAACCCTGCGTGATGTGCGGCGTCCTGGCGGCTCTCTGGGCTGGAGGTTTACAGACCACGCACTTGTAACCCAGGGCAGGGTCGTTTTTCATCCCTCAATGGACGCGAGAGGGAGAACGCCTGCACCCCGTGCGAAAATGCTTACTGCACGCAGCGCCCGGGCGCTCGTCCGGGAGTGGCCTCCCGAGCCGCCCGCTCTCTCCGACGGGCAGGCCCTCGCCGCCCCGTACGGGGGGGGGGGGGGCGGCGTCCGGGGCGGGCGTGTCCAGGGTCGGCCGCCCTGCTCGGGGCGAAGTCTTGGCCTCCTCCTCCTCCTCCTCCTCCTCCTCCTCCTCCTCCTCCTCCTCCTCCTCCTCTTTTGGGGCTTCGGGGGGTGCCTCGCGGGGCTCGTGTCGGTTCCTCCGACTCGATGCGATCCGATCTCGATGGCTTCCGATTCCGATTCGCTTCGGCTTCGGATTCCGATCTGGGCTCCGAGTCCTTACTGAAGGCATGCCTACTGGCCTGCCGATGTCCGCCGATTCGGCTCTTTACCGACTCGGCTGCCGATTTCCGCCGATCCGATTCGTGTCGATCGCCGAATCGACTTATCGATTCGATTTTGGACTATCCTGTCGCGACCACAGCAGGACGCAGCTCGAAAAACACGCCAGAACAAAGTAGCCTTCGGCAGGGTCGCAACATTATGACGTTGCGGCGACGCCGGGATGGGCGTTCAAGGTTGAAAGCCCTCTAGGGGCCGGTTTCGGGCCTTGGGCGCAAGAGATCACTGATCACATTCCACGTCGAAAAATCCACATGGCAGATTGGGCCGAGAGTTTCTGGAGACCGCCGAGAGCAGAGATCGTTCAATATTGAACGGACCGCGCGACGTCGTCCACGGCAGGAATTTGCCATGTCTCCCTCCTGGACTATACTTCTGTTCATGCATTACCTTGGTCTGACCGCGCGCTTGCAGGCCGCCAGGTACTTGTTAGACGTCGGTTTCCCTTTGCAGGCGTTACTCGTTGAAGTATGTTGTTTGCGAATATATTAATATGAACGTGGGAATATCTTAACATGAACGGACAACTACGCCCTTAATAATAGCGCACCGCGAAATGCCAGGCGGGAACCAAAACCGCGTTTCTTGGCGCTTTATTTCGTGATTCGAATCGTTTCTTTCAACCGACATGCAAGTGAGGGACATGAAGAGAATTTGGGACGGAGACTGTGGAGGAGGAGGAAAAGGAGGAGGAGGATGAGGAGGAGGATGACGGCTCTTCAATGTCTGACATGGCGCTCCGTTTTTTCTATACATATATCTTACGCCCAGTATGCGATTATGGTGGATTGTCGAGGGCCTCGGTGCTGGCGTTCTGCGTTGAGGAGAAGTGGAAGAGGACGACAACGAGGAGGAGGTCAGGAGGAGGAGAAGAGAAAAATACGAGGAGGAGAAAGGTGGAGCGAGGAGGAAAAGGGAAGAACAGAGTGGAGGAGGAGGAGGAGGAGGAGGAGGAGGAGGAGGAGGAGGAGGGGAGATCCAGAACAGGGGGAGGAGGACGAGGGAGAAGGGAGGGCAAGGACAGGAGGAGGAGGAGGAGCCGGAGGCGGCGACCTCCAGCGCACCTGGGGCCACATCCACGAGGAGCGCGGCGTTCGCGCGCAACGCCAGGCGAGCGTGCCTGCGTGGGAGGGCCGGACCGCCCGCGGGGCCTCTGTGCCAGTTGCGGGGCCGCGCCGCGGACGGAGACGGATCGAGCAGCGGCGAAGCTCGGAGGCCCACAGGTGGACACCAACACCAACATCGGCGTGCTTCCGCCGAGGGAAGACGATCCCGATCTCGGCGATGGTGGTACGATTCGGGCTTCCTAGGTGGCCGAAAGATGATCACCGACACCAATATCCAGGATCATCTTCCCCCCGTGGACGCAACCCCTGGTGTTGGCGTCGGTGCCCAGTTCCAAGCCTCCAAGAAGCGTCATGCCTTGCTTCTGTAGAGCCACCACGGAATGTTCTGAGAGCCTTTTTCTGCGGCCCGCACGAGATGTTTCAAGAACACCTCTGGGTGAGCCTGTCTTCTCTCTTGGCACAGCGGGCTTGCGCTCCAAGGGCACCGCTATCTTGTTCAGCGTCGGGGCGGTCGGCCACGGCTCAACAGGAGGAGGCCATCCTCGACCTCGAAGTCTCGCGGGGCGGCTGCCCCAGCTGCTCGAGGCCATCGCGCGCCACCCGCGTGCCGGGCGACGCCCCCGCCGTGGCGGCCGCGGCCGGGCGCGGCGGCGCGGCGGGTGCCGAGGCGGGAGCCAACAAGCACGGGCGCCGCCCGGCGGGCCGCGCCTCGTGGGGCCACGGTGCCCCGCGCCCCGACGGCCCCGTCGGGCCCGCCCGCGTCCCTCGAGCCCGAGTCTTGCGACCTCCTCCTCCTCCTCCTCCTCCTCCCCCTCCTCCTCCTCCTCCTCCTCCTCCTCCTCCTCCTCCTCCTCCTCCTCCTCCTCCTCCCCATCCTCCCTCGAGCCCGAGTCTTGCGACACGAGGACCCCTCGGGAGGCCCACAGGGAGGGCCCGAGCTGTCGAGATCCTGGGGCGGTCCCCCTGCCGCTGACCCCCACAGGGCCCCCCCCCCCCCCCCCGGGGAAGGGGATGGAAGAGGGAGGAGAGGAGTAGGAGGAGGAGGAGGTGGAGGAGGAGGAGGTGGAGGAGGAGGAGGAGGAGGAGGCACGAGGACCCTTCGGGAGGCCCGAAGAGAGACCCAGAGTTGTCAGGATCCTGGGGCGACCCTCCTCCCGCTGGCCCACAGGCCGCCCCCCGCGCCTCTTGTCCTTGACACCGCGGGTCCCCTCATCGACGCGGCCGGGCGGGGCCCCAGGCGGGAAGGCAAGAAGGAGAAGGGAATACAGTGGAGGCCCATGCCAAGAAACACCGTGCCTGCTTCCAGGTGCCCTGGATTTCTGGGGGTTATGTAGCTTTGCTGTGGAAAGCGTGACGCTCCCACACCAAAAATCGCTGGACGTCCTGGGGTCTCAGGGTCGGGCTTCTTGTGCAAGGTTTATTGTAAACTGGCCTCCACTGTGAGGAAGGATGGGGAGGAGGAGGAGGAGGAGGAGAGAGGGAGGGGAGAGAGGAGGGAGGAGGAGAGGGGAGGAGGGGAGGGAGGAGGAGGTGAGGAGGGGGAGGAGGAGGAGGAGGAGGAGGAGGAGGAGGAGAGGGGGAGGAGGAGGAGGAGGAGGAGGAGCAGGAATCCCCTCACGACCCCGCCCCAGGCCCCAGGTCCCTCCCGGGGCCCCTCTTGGCCATCCCCCCGAGGCCGCGCCCCGCCCGGGGCAGCGAGCGCCGCGGGAGGCCTCCGCCGCAGAGAGCTGCCGAAGCGACGCCGCCTTCGACGCCCAGCGCGCCGCCGGTCCCCCCCCGCCGCCCAGGACCGTGCGCAAGAGTGACCTTTCGGGGCTCGTTGCGATTCCTCCGATTCGGTTCGACGTCGACGGATTCCGCTGCCGCTGCGATGCGGCTTGGGACTCCGATCCGGATGGATACCCGATGCCGAGTCCTCGAGGGAGGCTTGCTAACCTGCCGATTCCTGCCGATTCGACTTTTCCCGACTCGGCTGCCGATTTCCGCCGGTCCGATTGATTTCGATTGCCGACGCGACTTGTCGATTCGAGTCTCGGCCCTCCTGCCCTTCGCCGGAATGACCTTTGTGTGCGGGCTCACCGGGGCCCCCCGGAAGGGGTCTGCGCGCAGGAGTCTGCTCCCCCCCCCCCTCGCGGCCCCGTGGAGCCGCGCTAAAACAGGGCTAGGATCGGGATAAATCGCTCCAGAGCGTTCCGGAGCGCTCTCAGAGCGTTCCGGAACGCTCCGGAGCGGCCGCGGCGCCCAATACATCCTCTAAACCCGCCGATTCTCAGAGATTTCGAGTTACACCTTAGGCGATGCTTAAGAAAACTTAAATTTTCGGCCAGAGTCCCGATTTTTCTTAATGTTTCAATGTAAATCCTAAGATCTGAATGGAAATCTGGGCTTCTTATTCCAGTTCTGAGACTATGAATTTCTGAACCCATGATTTCTTAAGCATTTCGCAGGGTGTATCCCGATCCGATTCTGTCCGGATCTTCGCGTCGTTTTACGCGCACCTGGAGCGGCCGCGGCGCCCAACACATCCTCCAAACCCGCCGACTCTCCGAGATTTCGAGTTTTATCCCGATCCGATTCTGTCCCGATCTTCGCGTCGTTTTGCGCGCACCAGAGGTCCCTCTTGCCTCGGGTCGCTCTTGCGCGTAGAGGCGACGGGCGCCGCGCGCGCGCGCCCCCGCTGCGCGTCGGAGGGAGACGCCGCGCCATCCCACGCCACCACTCCAGCGGGCCTCCTTCAGGAGGGAAAGAAACACACAGACACAATTAATCGTCGATTCCCCAGAAAATATGGGAAAATATGGGAAGCGAGGGGGAAGACAAAAACCCAGAAAATATAAGAAAAATATAGGGAATCTTTCTACTTGTGTGTATTTATTTGTGTGTCCTGGGGCGCCTTCACCGATGCGGGCACGCCAGGGGACCGTCCTCCTCCTCCCCCTCCCCCAGGGACTGCCTCGGGGCGGGGCGCTGCGAAGCAGGGGGGCCAGACCTCCGGGAGGGCACGCTGCCTCCTGCGTCGAGGAAGATCGAACATGGAGCGAGGCGAGTGGACTAGCAACGGGTTCCGCTTCCACGCAGACGTCGACGCGCAGCGTTGCCAAGCCAGGCGGCATTGGCCTCACGCTCCGGGGGGGTACACACCTTCCCCGCCCCTTCCATCGCGCCCGCGCGCCGGATCCACGCATCTGTCATGCCTGTCACCGGGTGCCCGCTGGTGGTGGCGTTCGGGGCAGGGCGAGCTGAGGCGCGGCGGCAGCTGCAAGTCGGTCCCCGGACCTCTCCCGGGGTCCAGGCACACCAGCGCCCCGAGCCGCGCCCAGCCGTGGCCGACGAGGGGCCCGCAAGAGGGGCAGCTGGCAGCGCTGCGCCTCCGCTCGCACTCCTGGAGGCGTCGGTGCCGCCTCTCCCTTCGGAAGCCCCCCACCCCCTCCCACACCCCGGCGGCCATGGACTGCGACTTCGACATCTGCCGCGCGCTCGGGGCCCCGCCCAGCGGCGCGGAGCCGAGCGTGGTTCGGGTGGACGACGCGTCGCTGGGCGCGCCCCATCCTCCTCCTCCTCCTCCTCCTCCTCCTCCTCCTCCCTCCTCCTCCTCTCCTCCTCCTCCTCTCCTCCCTCCTCCTCCCCTCCTCCTCTCCTCCTCCGCCTCCGCCTCCGCCTCCGCCTCCGCCTCCGCCTCCTCCTCCTCCTCTCCTCCTCCTCCACCTCCTCCTCCCCGGGAGTCGTCGCCGTCGCTGCGCGGGGGGGGGGGGGGGGAACGCCGTCGCCGCCCTCCTGGGAGGCGGCAGGGGGGCAGGGGAGGACGTAGGCCCACGTGGCCGACTTCGAGGCTTGAGGTGTCTTGAGGGCGCCCGGAGGACATCGATCGACTGCACATACAGTCAACCCGCATACAGTCGGGGCGCTGAACCAGGAACCCTTTTCGTTGGGGAGGGGCTCCGTGTTCCTTAGTTGTTTCGCAGGTTGCCTTAGGTTGTCTTAAGGTTTAATTTAGGTTTAACTCAGGGTTCCTTAGGTCAACGCCCCGACTGTAGCAAGGATGAGCGATTTTCCAAGGCTAACCTTGCATCCTTGCCCGTGCGGGTTGACTGTACGCGCAGTCGATCGAAGTCCTCCACAAGCACTCGAGTAGAGGCCTCCCAGATGGGGTCGGAGCAGATCGGGTCGGGAGATCGCGCCGCATCGCCGATGCATCACCGATGCGGCTCGATGCGGAGCCCGATTTGCTTCACGCCGACGTCGCCGATGCATCGCCAGCTTCGCTGGTGCCTCACCAATGCATCGCCGATGCATCGGCGATACACTGTGATGCGGCGCGATCCTCCGACCCCATCTACTCCGACCCCATCTAGCAGGCTTGGACGACTTCTCAGAAGACCAGGGGACTTCCGAGCCTTCTGAGAAGGCCCGCCCCTTCTCGATTCCCCCTCAGGCTCGCCGCCGAGTTTGGAGGACTTCGATCGACTGCACATACACCCCGCATAGAAAGGATGAGCGAATTTCTAAGGCTACCCTCGCATCCTTGCCCCGTGAACCCATCCTTAGCGACTTTCACTGGCTAATCTTCTTCGAAAGGCGTGAACATGGCCCTCCAAGGCCCTTGCATCCTTACCGCGCATACTTATTGTACGGGCTGACTGTAAGAATGGCCCTTCGCCGGAGTGACCTTTCTTGCGCGCTCACTGTCGGAGGCGGCGACGGGGGCGAAAAGCCCAGGAGCGGGCATTACACGTTATCGGCTGGGAGCCTCGCCGAAGACATGTATCATCGGCGCCCCTGGATACGTGGATTGTTCCCACTGGGCTATTCGCCCCCATCGTCGCCCCGACACTGGAGCCCCCCGATCGCCGAGTGCGGTACGATAGTAGCGTCTTGCTCGCCTGTGGTTGGTCCCCCCGCGGCCTTCAGAACGCCGCGCACCAAAGGTCACCCTTACCCAGGATCACTCTTGCGTGTAGTCGATTCAAGTGCACCCGAGCGCCTCCGAGCTTCGGGGGACCTACGGAAGGCCCTCCGGCGACCTCCAGGGACCAACACTTCCAGGCGTTGTGAGGCAAATCAACGCGCAGGATGATTACACGTTCAACTTCCCAGGTTTCCGGGGCCGTCCAACATGATCCAGCCAGAAACATATTCGCGTCTGGTGCGAGATCGAGAGCTGCAGGGCCCGCGCATTGAAAATATCAGGGCTTCCGAGGCGAGCTTCGGGAATTTGGCCGACGTGGCCCTCTGCTCCCACCCCAGGGTTGGACCCAAGCGCTGGTTTGCTGGACTTCGGCTGCGTTCTGTTTTGGTCGTTTTGGCAGGGAGGTACAGGAACACAGGTAAAGCAAAACGAACAAGCAAAACGACAACAGCAACAACAACAACAACAACAACAACAATCATTTTAAGACTGTTCGCCCTTATCTGCTCGAGTGTCCAATAATCCGTATTTCCCAAACCCTCGATACCCGCCCTCTTCGTCTTCGATCGAACCCTTTTTGGGGGTATACCTTTATTCCCTGCAGGCCGGGCCCCGGCAAGCAGCGGGGCGGCCGCGGACCGTCGGCTTGGCCAGCGGCAACGCTGATCGGCGGGGCGGCCGCGGACCGTCGACCCGACCCCAAGAGGGACGGACAGGGGACCGACCACGACGACGACGACGACGACGACGACGTCGACGACGACGACGACGACGACGACCACGACGACGACGGCGGCGGCGGCGACGACGAGCGAAAGCGAGAGCGAGAGAGAACGACAGCAGGGACACAAGGACACGAAGTAGGCCACGAATGGCGACAGCGGGGACACGAAGGGAATGCGTCTGGGGCCACGAAGAGCGCGAACGAGCGGGGGCCACGAAAGGCATACGTATACTGGGCCGCGGAGGGCAAGGACGGGGCCACTGAGGCAGCAACGGGGCCACCAAGGGCAGCGAGGGGGCCACGAAGGGCGACAGCGGGGCCACGAAGGGCAGGAAGGGGGCCACGAACGGCGACGACGGGGCCACGAAGGGCATGCGCATGGGGCACGAATGGCTGCAACGGGGCCACGGAGGGCAGCGAGATCCCGATTCTTAGGTAATCAGTGAGGGGGTCCTACTCTTGAGCGCGACTCCTGGGTGCCTGGGTGTCGGGAGCGCGGCGCTCGAATAAATTGCGAGAATTTCCACCGCAACGACGTTATTCTTCAGTAAATTGCAAGCAAGTCTCCAGCGAGAGCGCGACTCCAGAGCGCCGGGAGAGCGATTCCTGAATAATGTGTAAGGAAGTCCCAAGCGAGAGCGCGATTCCTGAATTATCCCAGTGCGATTCTACCTAGGAGTTGGAGCCCCCAGGAAAGCAGCATTCGTAGTAACAGTAAAGCTAAGCTGAAGCTAAGCTAAAGCTAAGCTAACGCTAAGGTAATGCTAAGGTAAAGCTCAGGTAAAGCTAAAGCTAAGCTAAAGCCAAGCTAATGCCAAGCTAAAGCTAAGCTGAAGCTAAGTCAAAGCTAAGCTAAAGCTAAGCTAAAGCTAAGCCGAAGCTAAGCTGAAGCTAAGCAAAAGCTAAGCAAAAGCTAAGCACCATCTAAGGTAAAGCTAAGCGAAAGCTAAGCGAAGGCTAAGCTAAAGCTAAGCTAAAGCTAAGCTAAAGCTAAAGCTAAGCTAAAGCTAAGCTAAAGCTAAGCGGAAGCTAAAGCTCCCAGGGGACTGGGGGAACCGCGGGGCGGATGCCGGGGGAACCGCCCAGGGCGAGGAACACGGCCCGGCCCTTTAAGCAAACCGAGTAAGAACCCTTCTAGGCAGAGCTTAGGTAGGGAATAAAATGCAAGGAAGTCTCGGGCGGGAGCGGCGATCCTGGTTAAATTGTGAAGAAATCTCAGGCGGGAGCCGTTGTTGTTGTAACCTGGGGGCCAACGGCACAGTTTGACCCTCAAGACTTTCCCTGATAAAAAACAGGGTGCGAGCCCCGGGAAGGGCAGTTCAATCGAGAAAAAACCATGTGCACCAGACGGGGGGATCAACAATAATTATTCTTCAAGAATGAGAACTCAAGAACAAGAAGAAGAAGAAGAACAACAACAACAACAACAACAACAGCAGCAGCAGCAACAACAACGGCAACAATAACAACAACAACAACAACAACAACAACAACAACAACAACAACAGCAACAATTACTAGCACGTGGGGACACTCCGTTCTCACCAGTGCCAGGGTTTTCATAGGAGGCGGGCAACAACAACAACAACCACAACAACAACAACAACCATAACAACAACAACAACAACAACAACAACAACAACAACAACAACAACAACAGCACCAATAACAACAACAGCAACAGCACCAACAGCAACAACAGCAGCGGCAACCACAACCACAACCACAACAACAACAACAACAGCAACAGCAGCAATAACAGCAACGGCAACAAAACGAAAAGCAGCGTTTCGGCCCAGCCCCGTGCCACACCGTGGGCCCCTCTGGAGGTCTGCACCCCATCCCCCGGGCACCGACTCTGCCCCCCGAGCCCGCGGCTCGACGGCCCCGCGGTTTCGCGGGGGCCGCTGGAGTTGAGTCGGGCGTGTCCCTCTACAGGAGGAGGATTCAAAAATTATTGTGTCTGTTGTTGTCTTTTTTTCTTTGCTTCAACAAAAAACTTGTTTTCAACAGGAAAGTGTGGAGACGATTTGTTGAGTATTGTTTGGCCATGTTTGAGCATGTCTTGACCACTTTTGAGTTCTTCCTCCAGGATCCGCCCGTAGGAGGACCTGCCCGACCTGACACTGGAGGCCGAAAACATTGGGAAGCCTCGCGTCGCGATCTGTCTTCGCCGCGCAGGGGGAGCTTCGGGGCGGTGGGGGGGGGGGGTGGCGCTCCCCTCTCAGGCGATCGCAAACATGGATCAGCGGGGCATGGATTAGCGACGGGTCCCGTTTCCGTGGGAAATCTCGGATTTCCGCCGCCGAGCGAGCGGCACCGGCCGCATTTTGAGGAGGGCACCTCCCCCGATCCATGGATTTGGCGACCGCGCGCCAAATCCATGGATCGCAAATCCACGTCTGCGCGCCCCCGACCCTCGGGGGCGCCCCGGGCTCAAGGCCTCCCAGACCGGGTCGGGCTAGACGGAGTCGGAGGATCGTGCCGCTCGGCGATGCGCCAGCGATGCGGCCCGATGTGGGGTCAAGCTTTCTCAACGCCGACGTCGCCGATGCATCGCCGACGTCGCCAGTGCATCGCCGATGCATCGGCGGTGCATTGGCGATGCATCGCCGATATATCGGCGATGCGGCGCGATCCTCCGACCCCATCTTTAAGTTGGGCCTCTCCACAGGAGGAATATCCAAAAATGGCAACAACAAAAAAAAAAAAGTCTCGGGACTGTTTTCCGCGTATTTGTTTGACCATTTGGGAGTATGTTGTTAGTATTTCTTATTTTTCGTCGACAATCCCCCTGTAGGGTTATGTCGGGCGTGTCCCCCTACAGGGGGAGTTCCGACGAAAAATAAGAGATACCCCAAAAATGCCCCAAAAAAGCAAAAACCATAACTTTAAAAATAGTCCCCAGACTATCTCTGGATTATTTGTTGTTCTACTATTTGGGGGTATTTTTTATTGTTCGTCGAAAATCCCTCTGTAGGGGGACAGGCCCGACTTAACTATATCGGAGGAGGAGGGGGAGGAGGAGGAGGAGGAGGAGGAGGAGGAGATGGAGGAGGAGGAGGAGGAGGAGGAGGAGGAGGAGGAGAGGAGGAGGAGGAGGAGGGAGGGAAGGAGGAAAAGGAGGAGGACCCCGTCCGGGAGGCCCCCTGTATGCGGGCGGAGAGAGCCCGCAGGCCACCCGCGCTGGGGCGGCCCGCTGCGCGACCTGCTCGACGCCCTCGGCGAGCGGTCCAAGCGGGCGCAGGGGCGCGCCGCCGCCCCGCCCCGCCGCCCCCCCCCCGGCCGCGGACGGCGGCGGCAGCGATCCTCCTGCTCCTCCTCCCCCTCCTCCTCCTCCTGCTCCTCCTCCTCCTCCCCCTTCTCCTCCTCCTCCTCTCCTCCTCCTCTCCTCCTCCTCCTCCTCCTCCTCCTCCTCCTCCTCCTCCTCCTCCTCCTCCTCCGAGAGAGAGAGAGAGAGAGAGAGAGAAAAAAAAAAAAAAAAGAGAAGAGCTGCCAGTTCCTCCGGGCCAGCTCCTCCGGGTGGTCAATGCAAACGGGGGTCAGCCAGGGCACCAGATCCTGCAGGATCCTGCGAAGACCCCCTCTGGCTGACCCGGGTTGGCGAGCCGCTCGTGGCCGCGAGGCCGCCGCGCATGTTGGCTGACCCGGGTTTGCGAGGACCTGCGTTGCAGTTGTTTTTTCTTGCATTGCAGTTTTTGGTTTCCTGCTGACCCGGGTCTGGATTGGCCCGGGTCAGAAGATCCCCGAGAGGGTTCGGTCGGGCACATCCTCCTACAGTTGTGGAGGACGATCAATGGATAGGAAGCATGTTGCAAAATAATTTCCAGATGACTAAAACATGTCTTAAACATGTTTTGGATCATGTGTTAAAAAACATGACTAAGCATGTTTGGAACGTGTTCCTACATTTTAAACACCTGTAAAATTCAATGATAGGACTGTTAGGGTGTCCGTTGTCGTGGCATTCACAATCCTACAGGCGGAGCTTGCTCGAAAGATGAAGAATAGTGAAAATACACCAGAAATAACAAAAGTATAGTCTAAACATCGTCCCCAGGCTCTTGAATTCTCCCTGTAGAGGGGGCGGCTGGGCGGGGCCCTGGCGAGGGCGATAAGGGCGAGGGCGGCGGGGGCGAGGTCGAGCGAGCACGACGGGGGCGCGCTGGGCGGCGACGACCCAAGAGGCTTCCTCCTCCTCCTCCTCCTCCTCCTCCTCCTCGTCCTCGTCCTCCTCCTCGTCCTCGTCCTCGTCCTCGTCCTCGTCCTCGTCCTCCTCGTGCTCCTCCTCCTCACCCTCCTCCTCCGTTGACGCCAGTTCCGCGTTCCATGCTCGCCGCGGCCTGTGGCAGGCTCGCCGTGTCTGATGATAGAGAAGGTGGCGTCGGTGACATAGGGCTTCCGGATTCTAACAGATTCTTGCGTGTAGATGTTGTCCGTTGCTTCTCGGTCTTGCTCAAGTAAGTTGTAGGCATGGTCGTTGATGTCGGATATCTTGGAGGTCTTTCTGCAAAAGCGTTTGGTCGTTTGCATCCGCCATTTTTCCTTTGGTCCAGTCGTGGTGTCGTGTGCTTGGGGTGTGATACTGGCAAGTGTGTCTGGCGCACGATGATGGGCTTTCTTGTCATCCTGGACCATGCGTCAGTCTCCCACCGTTTTGATGTCTTGGGGGTGGACAGAACCCCCACCCTGACACGTCGATTAGTGAATTGTCCGTTTTCGGTTCTCGAGAGGGCGCCGCGGTCATAATTCTCCAGGATTGCTCGCGCCGGGTTTGGGCCCGAGGTCGTTTTCACTAAACCACGTTTTATTGAAGGGGGTTCTGTCCATCCCCGAATGTCAGTGACGGCGTCGAGGTTGCTGGTCGGGATCACGATCTAATCGGCGCGTTCCGCTCTGTTTCCCTTCTTGTACATATCTGTATATATATGTATATATACATATATATACATATATATATATATATGTGTAGGTCCTCTGCACCCCATTGCCGCGTTGACTGCCGGTATGTAAGAAGGTATTTGTGGAAGTGGGCGCTTGCCTCTTTCTCCTCGAGTCTTTCGCCGTAGACTCCAGTTGAGTCCGTGACATTTTCTTCGGAGGTAGCATTGGCGTTAAATTAGGATCATGTCGATGCTGGCTAGGTCTGTCCAGAATATGTCTGTGTTGTTCTGGCCAGGATGTCCACGGGTTGCGCGTGCTACTGCCATCGTCCTTTGAAGACTTGGTGCTGTAATTCGGATAGCAAGTAGTCGTGGTCTCTAGCGTATGATCTTGAAGGGGTTGGGGCGGAAGTGTTTATTATCGCCTTTGCCCTCTGCGTAGGGCAGGTCCAGGTTGATCAGCAGTGGGCAGCCCAAACTGTAATTCTCGTGCCCGCTTGATATAACGTGGAAGCTGTGCATGTTCGCCCTGCCCCTGGATAGTCTGGCCTCCTGCATACCAATGAGCTGGATGTCCATGTGCTTCAACTGATGTTTGATGACTTCAGTCCTTGTGACCTTCCTCAAGTGTTCTCTGCAGGTGTGAGTTGGCTCCTTGAGGTTGCGCAAGTTGAAGGTCATCGCGTTGAGGTTGACGGTCACCTCCTTGCTGGTCTGTTCCTGTTTGGGTTCAAAATGTTTGGGTGTAGTTGTGGTTGTCGGTAGCGTGGCTATCATGTCCTGTTCGGTCAAGTTGTATGCCCTTGTTATTTCGTCTGGCTGCAATAGCCATTCCCATCGCCATTGGTGCTTGGCGTCAAATACCTCTTTCCACTGGTTGCGGGCATGGTTCTTCACGTACGCTCTGTCTCTTGGTTACTGAGTCAGCAAACTAGTTCCATGTGCGCCCCTTGTGCGCGTAGTCGTGGTCCGTGCCTAGGTGAGTTGCGCTCGAAGCTAGCTGGTGGAGCTGGTTAGCTAGTGCAGCCAAGTCATGGTTGTTGCGTGGTATGTAGTTCCCTTTCGCAAGTCCGATAGCCACCTTGGAGTCCGTATGCACTGTTGTTGGTGCGTTGGTTGCGGTGGATGTCTGGCTATATGTCCGTGCGTATCCCCATATCCATAAGGGCTAACAACCTTGATGTAGTTGAAGTTTATGCTTCTATGTTAGTCGATGTGGATTCGGATACGTTGGCTGCCATCGCATCAAAGTTTCGAAGCCGCTACCGTCCTTTGTGGTGATGGCGACTGCCCATAACGTCCTTGGTTGGGTCGGTCTGGTGTGTCCCGTCGGTGTACAGGTGGATCTGCTTGATGGCCCCGTGCGCCCTTGACAGTGCGAATTCCATCGCCGTGATGGCTGCTTGGTGGAACCTCTCGGGCTCACATAGGTCTGGGAAAGGTGGTCGTGAGGTCGGGCGGGGAGGTGCGCCTGAGTCCGTCGGCGGTCGGCTCGGTCGCTGCGAGCGTGGGTCGGCGGCGACGACAAGGGGCGAATGGATCAGGGGAGAGCATTGCACGTACTCCGAATCCCGGATCCGGTTTTTTAAGGCGCCTTTTTTGTAATTGGGGGGTTCCGGAGTATCAGGGCGTTTCTTTGGATGGGAGCTTGGGGGATCCGGTTGATTGAGGCGCCCCGTCGAAGAGGGGGGTCCGGAATATTGGGTCGCAGTTGGAGGGGAGTCCGTTGTTTGGGGGGGGGTCCATTAATCAGGGATTTGCGCGTACCCCTCTGGGAGCCTCGCTGAAGATATGGACCGTTGGCGCTCCTGGATGCCTGGAGTGCTTGGTTTGGTATCGCTCGGACGTGTGCACTTTTCTCGGCGTGGAGTGTTCAGGAGCATCCTGGATCATCCTGCGAAAAAACCACGCACGAAACCGAAAAAAAGCACAGGGAATGGACGTCCGAGCGGTAGCCAGAGGAGGAGGAGGAGGAGCCCGTTGTAGACCCCTTCTGCCATATCGTCGTGATGTGGGTCGTGCGTTCGTCGAGTATGGAGCCGGTATCCCACATCCCTCCTCCCTTTCTCGAATACTACTACGATGTCCCAACCTAGTTTAGCCTTGATCACTGGATAGAATTTCGAGCACCAAGAAAGTACCGAAACTTGAGGGTTTTCACGTGTCGGCCCCGGGAGACCATACTCGTTCGACATTGTTTCGATACTTTTCTGGGTGCTCGAAATTATTTCTCGGATGTGGTCCGTAAGTTCGATGGGATCAACATAAGAATACTAGTTCGAATCCGCGTCTGTGGTGGTGCTCTGTGGCTCCGTCGAATTTGGCAGCGGTGGTGTCCGTCGTGTGTACACCACGTCGTCCTCTCTACCACTGCCATGAATTCTGAAGCTGCTCGGTTTGTTGGTCCGTCGGAACGGTACCATCGCAGGTCCTTTAGTTCTGTCGGGGCTTCGTTATGCGCCCGTCTTAATTATCCTCTCCAATGGCAGTTGGAATGGGTGTTTGTCCCGTTGCGGTGCTCTTGCCGGTCTGGGTCGGTTGCGCGTAGTGGTGCTCCAGGCTCACCATTCATGGCGTGGACTGGTCCTCGTCCATCGCCGCGTCGGTACCGTCAGACGGAGCCCGTTGGGTCTCCACTTGCGTCGGCTGCGTCGTCATTTGTGGCAAGGTCGGTTGGTGTGCTGACGTCGGGTGTCACCGCTACAATGATGTGTGGCTCATTTGGGTCGATGGTCGCCCTTCTCGTTCTTCGCACGCTTGCACTTCTTGCAGGTGGTACTGGGTCTTTGCGTGTTGGCGGCAACGGTGATCCCCTGCCACGTGTACCAGTGCAGCGCCGTTGTGGGCTGATAGCTTGCGGCGTCATCTGCTCGAATGAAGTGAACCCCACCCTCCCCCTCAGAAATCGGGGGGGGGTAGGGGTAGGGTTCGCATGTGGCCCCCTAGTGGTGCCGCCGTCCCCCTTCGCAATTGGCGACGAGGTGCCGATGGAGACGACCTCTCGCGCAGGTGGGTCGGGTTGAGCTGGAGGCATGGTGCTTTCGGGTCGTGCGTCGCCTGCGGCGTTCGCGGTGCCCGTGTCGACCTCGTCGGTGCAGTCATGTGGCAAACGGCCTGTTCATGTTCGGTTGGTTGGGACGAGAGAGCCGCGTGCATGTCAGTCTCCCTGGCCATGTCGTCGGACTGCGATTGCGCAGATTGAGCGATTCCGTCCTCCATCGGATGCTGCACGGTAGGCTGCACCGGTGCAAGGAAGAGATGTGATTCTTCGTCGTCCGTTGAGATGGTCGTGTTGAGGGCCTCCTGGAGAGCGTCTACCATCTCCACGTCGCTTAGGCGTTCTTGGGCCTTGTCGCAATCCTGTCGGTCTTGTCGGTATTCTTCGGTTGCCTCCTCGGTGCGCCTCTCGTGAGTGGCCTGTTCTTGTGGTACTTCGCGTTGTGGTTTGTCGGCCTCGTCGTCGGCAGCTTCGTTGTCGCTGTACCGTTCGTTCTTGGCATTGCTGATGTCCCGCTGGAGAATGGTAAGCTCCTCATCTTGTTCTCTAGCTTATTCATGTACATGTGTATATTTTGTAAGTGGGTTCCGGTGTGCTCGTAGTAGTTCTCCATGATCTGTTTCGTTGTCTCGATCTCTCTAGCCTGTTGGGCCAATGACGAACTGTTGAGGATCGAGGAATTGGTGAAAGCAATACATGCCACGGCATCTGTCGTAGGTAGATTTGTTGCATTGTTGTTTGCAATGACCGTTGCCCACCGCCTCATCTCGATGCGTTTTATATTCTTCCAGTCGTCCCTCAGCTTGGGGTCGTTAGGTGGTAGCTCCCAGTCGTGCATCCTTGTAGCGTAGATGTTCATCATGGTCATGACGGTGTTGATGGTGTTGGCCATGTGGTCGGTATAGTTATGGGTGCCCTCCTTCTCCTTGTGTTGATTCTCGCCATCATGGTGATGTTGTGTGTCTTTCCCTTTCCCTTGCCGAGGTTCTTGTCTTCCGGGGTCCAATTGTCGGGCTCGTTGTCGTCCTTTGTGGTCTTTCGTTTACTCCTGTAGGTGTTGCCCTCGCTACTGCAACTGTGGCTCCAGTTCTCGTCGGGGTGCTCTTGGGTCCACTGGTCCCTCCAGTTGTGGTTCGTCCAGCGTGCGAGGCCAGCTCAACTTGCCGGTGTGGTGGGTCTCGGCGTACACCTTAGGCGATGCTTAAGAAAACTTAAATTTTCGGCCAGAGTCTCCATTATTCTTAATGTTTCGATGTAAGTCCTAAGATTTGAATGGAAATGTTGGGTTTTTATTCAAATTCTGAGACTATGAATTTCTTAACCCATGATTTCTAAAGCATTTCGCAGGGTGTAGTTGGTTTGTTTCGTGGGCGGTTCCATGTTGTCCTCCACGGTGGCAGTGTCGTGCCCGATCCGCTCGCAGTTGCACTCCATGACGTCGCCATGATCGGAGCTTGAGGTGAATGTCGCGGTGGCGGTTGTGCGCTGTGGTGCGCTTGTAGTAGTTATTGTACAGCGTGAAGCTGATGCTGCAGGTGATGATCAAGAAGTGAGCGTGCCGATACCACTCGTACTCGTGGTAGTAGACGTGCAGCGGCTTAACGTTCTCGCCCCCGACGATGCCAAGCCATGATGGCTGAGATAGTCGTGGTGGTATTTGCTGTGGGAGTCGAGAGGCCGGAGAATCACCTGTGGGAACCTGAGATGATGAAGTCCCCGAAACGGAGTGTGAGAGGTGAAGGACATGGGAAATTGGATTGTAAGATGGGTCATGGGGATTCGTGGCCAATCGGTCGGCACATTGCCATTGACACGCCTCCATCGCGCGATTCGTGGCTCCTCCTCCTTCTCGTCCTCCTCCTCCTCCTCCTCCTCCTCCTCCTTCTCCTCCTTCTCCTCCTCCTCCTCCTCGTCCTCCTCCATCCTCATCCTCCCTCCTCCTCCTCCTTTTCCTCCTCCTCCTCCTCCTCCTCCCTCCTCCTCCTCCTCCTCCTCCTCCTCCTCCTCCTCTCCTCCTCCTCCTCCTCCTCCTCCTCCTCCTCCTCCTCCTCCTCCTCCTCCGCCGCGGCGAGGCTCGGCAAGCCCGTCACGTGCGGCCGCGGCAGCCTAGGCCGGGCGGGACGGGAGGAGCGGAGCGGCAGCGGGGACGGTGCAGGGAAGACGGGCGCGGGAGGAGGAGGAGGAGGAGGAGGAGGAGGAGAAGGAGGAGGAGGAGGAGGAGGTCGAGGAGGAGGAGGACGAGGAGGAGGAGGAGTTGGAGGAGGAGGAGAAGGAGGAGGGGGGGAGGAGGAGGAGGAGGAGGAGGAGGAGGAGGAGGAGGAGTAAGAGGAGGAGGAGGAGGAGGAGGAGGAGGAGGAGGAGTAGGAGTAGGAGGAGGAGGGAACACCTCTCATCCCCGGGCGGGCGTGGAGAAGCGATCGACAGCGCGCGCGCGGGGGCGAAGCGAGGAGGGGACAGGCCTGCTCAGAAGCCCTCTGCGGCGTCTGAGAAGTCATCCGTCCGTGTCTTCGGGGAAGTCTCAGACAACTTCTCGGGGGGCCCGAGGCCTTCCGTGCCTTCCGAAAAGGCCCGCCCTTTCTCGCTTCCCCCCAAGGCTCGCCGCCGAGAGGAGGAGGGCGGGGGAGGGCATCCTCTTGCTCCTCGCTTCCTGGGTCCAGGAGTCGCGCACCCGCTGGCGCCCGTGTCTGAACACAGCGTGGGTCCTCCCGTCTCGGGCTGGAAGGCCCCGGAATCTCGAGGGGCGGGCTGGAAAACCGCCCACCGCCTAGAAGGAGGAGGGGGAGGCGGAAACGGAGGAGGAGGAGGAGCAAGAGCAAGAGGAGGAGCAAGAGGAGGAGGAGGAGGAGGAGGAGGAGGAGGAGGAGAAGAAGAAGGAGCTCCATGGGCTCGATCTGCGCCCAGGTCGCGGTGGGCATCGGCTCCGGGCCGCCCCAGTGGCCCCAGGGAGGGCGAGCCGTGGGAGCCCGCAGAGCGGGAGCCACGACGGGGCCCCTTTGGGGACAACCTGCCGGCGGGGGCAGCAAGATCAGTGAGCATTCTGGGGGTGTGGCCTCAAGTCGGGCGGGCGGGTGAGGAATTTCCAAAAACTGTCAAAAAATAGTCTGGGGACGATGTCGGGACTGTTTTTGAGCATGTTTCGGGCTACTTCTAATGTTTCCCCGCCCGACCTAAGAGTGGCCTCGATGCGCGTGCGGCCGAGCACCTGGGCCCGTCTCGGGGCACTCTGGGGGCCGTCTCGCGGCCCTGCGGAGCGCAGCTCTCTCTTGCGGCCCTCCTGGCGCCCTTTCGGGAGGTCTGGGGCCCGCTTGGGAGGCGTCAGTGGCGCCCCCCGGCCGACGTCCGCGAGGCTTGGCTGCCGCCGCGGGATGGCGGCAACGAGCTCACCCAAGGCAACAATATCGGGATCCCGCAAAGGGGGGATCTGCCCAGGTGTCTGTGTGTGTGTGTATGAGTTCGATCGGCTCTTGCACCGAACCGCCCAAAACAGACCCCCCCGCCGCAGCTCCCGATTGCTACCGATGGCTGGGGGATGCGGGGAGTACCTGTTTGCGGCAGTTCGGTGCAGATAACGCCTGGGGCGGGTCCGTGCCGCCGTTCGTGTTGCGAGGTCCGACTGCATGCGAATTCACGCAGGCACCTTGGGCACCTCCCTTCGGGCTGTGTCGCCCAGGTGTTCTGTCCGGGCCAAAAAAAAATCCTGACAGTGGTAGCCGTCAGTCACCACCCACCAAACCACCCCAACCCAACCCGAAGGCCTCAATTCGCCCTCCATTTCCAGTGGGGGGGTCGGGGAACATTGAAAAAAAACACATGGAACCCGTACCCCCCCCAACCCGAAATTCGAGTCTTCGGGTCGGGTTGGGGTTGTCTGGTAGGTAGTCAGTGAGTGAGCTGCTCGCCGTCGGTGAGGTCGCCGACGCCACTCCTGCCCGCCGCCCCTGCAAGGGGGGGGGGGCCCGCTCCCAGACTCGCCCCCGCCGGGCCCGGCCGGCCTGCCGGCCGCCCGCCGCGCCGCTGGCCGTCCTGCGCACCGCCGACGGCGACGACGACGACGGCGACGACGACGACGACGACGACGACACCTGGGCCGACGAGGCCGAGGAGGCTGAGGAGGAGGAGGAGGACGACGAAGACGACGACGACGGCGACGACGAAGACGACGACGACGACGACGAAGACGACGACGACGATGACCCCTCCCCGGCGCGGGGGGCGCCGCGAGGGGGCCGCCGCGGGCTCCGCCCGCGGCCGCCGCGCACGGCGCGCGCCTGCATGCCGCGGTGTGTGCGTGTGCAGTTGACATTAAGTCGGGCCTGTCCCCCTACAGGGAGATTTTCGACAAAAAATTAAAGATACCCCGAAAATATGTGTTTTTTTTCCCAACCCTCCTGCGTTGGGTTCTCGTTTTGAATAGAGCACTGCTCGCGCGAATCCCGCCCCCCTCTTCCCCCCTGCCTTTTACATGGCTCGTCGCTGCGTTTCGAGGGCTGCTGGGGGCTGCGATATGTGAAACTGTCGCCACTTTCGAGGGCTGCTGGGGGGCCCAGCACACTCTGCACCCGCGGCGGACTCAAATGGGACCTCGCCATCCTTGGGGGGCTGCGATCTGCGAAACTGTCGCCACTTTCGAGGGCCGCTGGGGGGCCCAGCACACTCTGCACTCGCGGCGGACTCAAATGGGACCTCGCCATCCCTGGGGGGCTGCGATCTGCGAAACTGTCGCCACTTTCGAGGCCTGCTGGGGGGCCCCAGCACAGTCTGCACCCGCGGCGGACTCAAATGGGACCTCGCCATCACTGGGGGGCTGCGATTTGTGAAACTGTCGCCACTTTCGAGGCCTGCTGGGGGGCCCAGCACATTCTGCACCCGCGGCGGATTCAAATGGGACCTCGCCATCCCTGGGGGGCTGCGATCTGCGAAACTGTCGCCACTTTCGAAGCCTGCTGGGGGGCCCAGCACAGTGGGCACCCACGGCGGATTCAAATGGGACATCGCCATCCCAGCACAGTCTGCACCCACGGCGGACTCAAATTTGACCTCGCCATCCCTGGGGGGCTGCGATCTGCGAAAGTGTCGCCACTTTCGAGGGTTGCTGGGGGGCCCAGCACAGTGGGTACCCACGGCGGACTCAAATGGGACCTCGCCATCCCTGGGGGGGTGCGATCTGTGAAACTGTCGCCACTTTCGAGGCCTGCTGGGGGGCCCAGCACAGTGGGTACCCACGGCGGACTCAAATGGGACCTCGCCATCCCTGGGGGGCTGCGATCTGTGAAACTGTCGCCACTTTCGAGGCCTGCTGGGGGGGCCCAGCACAGTGGGCACCCACGGCGGATTCAAGTTAGACCTCGCCATCCCTGGGGGGCTGCGATCTGTGAAACTGTCGCCACTTTCGCGGCCTGCTGGGGGGCCCAGCACAATGACGCCACACGCAGATTCAAATTAGACCTCGCCATCCCTGGGGGTTGCGATCTGTGAAACTGTCGCCACTTTCGAGGCCTGCTTGCGGGGCCCAGCACAGTGACGCCTCCCAAGTAGCTTACACATCAAGTTGATTGTCCATACAAGTTTCGGCCAACTCATCGTTTCCACTGATACAAATGGGTTGGGTACGTCACAGGGTAGTTCCCAACCCTCCTGCGTTGGGTTCTCGTTTTGAATAGAGCACTGCTCGCGCGTTTCCGTCCCACTCCCTCCCGTCCCTCTCTTCCCCCCTGCCTTTCGCCTCGCTCGTCGCTGCGTGCCAGCTGGGGGGCTGCGATCTGTGAAACTGTCGCCATTTTCGAGGCCTGCTGGGGGGCCCAGCACAGTGGGTACCACGGCGGATTCAAATGGGACCTCGCCATCCCTGGGGGGCTGCGATCTGTGAAACTGTCGCCACTTTCGAGGCCTGCTGGGGGGCCCAGCACAGTGGGTACCCACGGCGGACTCAAATGGGACCTCGCCATCCCTGGGGGGCTGCGATCTGTGAAACTGTCGCCACTTTCGAGGCCTGCTGGGGGGCCCAGCACAGTGGGTAACGGGCAGATTCAAATTAGGACCTCGCCATCCCTGGGGGGCTGCGATCTGTGAAACTGTCGCCACTTTCGAGGCCTGCTGGGGGGCCCAGCACAGTGACCCACGGGCGGATTCAAATGGGACCTCGCCATCCCTGGGGGGCTGCGATCTGTGAAACTGTCGCCACTTTCGAGGCCTGCTGGGGGGCCCAGCACAGTGACCCACGGGCGGACCCAAATTAGGACCTCGCCATCCCTGGGGGGCTGCGATCTGTGAAACTGTCGCCACTTTCGAGGCCTGCTGGGGGGCCCAGCACAGTGGGTGGGACCTCGCCATCCCTGGGGGGCTGCGATCTGTGAAACTGTCGCCACTTTCGAGGCCTGCTGGGGGGCCCAGCACAGTGGGTACCCACGGCGGACTCAAATGGGACCTCGCCATCCCTGGGGGGCTGCGATCTGTGAAACTGTCGCCACTTTCGAGGCCTGCTGGGGGGCCCAGCACAGTGGGTACCACGGCGGACTCAAATGGGACCTCGCCATCCCTGGGGGGCTGCGATCTGTGAAACTGTCGCCACTTTCGAGGCCTGCTGGGGGGCCCAGCACAGTGGGTACCCACGGCGGACTCACATGGGCGGTGCGATCTCCCTGCTGGGTACCCTTCAAATTAGACCTCGCCATCCCTGGGGGGCTGCGATCTGTGAAACTGTCGCCACTTTCGAGGCCTGCTGGGGGGCCCAGCACAGTGACGCCCACGCAGATTCAAATTAGACCTCGCCATCCCTGGGGGGCTGCGATCTGTGAAACTGTCGCCACTTTCGAGGCCTGCTGGGGGGCCCAGCACAGTGACACGGGGATTCAAATTAGACCTCGCCATCCCTGGGGAGCTGCGATCTGTGAAAAACTGTCGCCACTATCGAGGCCTGCTGGGGGGCACAGCACAGTGGGTACCCACCGCAGATTCAAATTAAACCTCGCCATCCCTGGGGGGGCTGCGATCTGTGAAACTGTCGCCACTTTCGAGGCCTGCTGGGGGGCCCAGCACAGTGGGCACCCACCGCAGATTCAAATTTGACCTCGCCATCCCTGGGGAGCTGCGATCTGTGAAACTGTCGCCACTATCGAGGCCTGCTGGGGGGCACAGCACAGTGGGTACCCACCGCAGATTCAAACTAGACCTCGCCATCCCTGGGGGGCTGCGATCTGTGAAACTGTCGCCACTTTCGAGGCTTGCTTGCGGGGCCCAGCACAGTGGGTACCCACACGCAGATTCAAATTAGACCTCGCCATCCCTGGGGGGCCGCGATCTTTGAAACTGTCGCCACTTTCGAGGCCTGCTGGGGGGCCCAGCACAGTGACGCCACATGCAGATTCAAATTAGACCTCGCCATCCCTGGGGGGCTGCGATCTGTGAACCTGTCGCCACTTTCGAGGCCTGCTTGCGGGGCCCAGCACAGTGACGCCTCCCAAGTAGCTTACACATCAAGTTGATTGTCCATACAAGTTTCGGCCAACTCCTCGTTTCCATTGATACAAATGGGTTGGGTACGTCACAGGGTAATTCCAGACCTAGGCTCTGCCTAGAAGGGTTCTTACTGTTTTGGCTTAAAGGGGCCGGGCAGTGCACCCCGCCCTGGGCGGTTCCCCCAGTCCCTTGGGAGCCAAGCAAAAGCAACAGCAAAGGTAAAAGCAAACGCGCGGTGGTGCCAAGCAAAGGCAAAAGTGAAGGCAAAAGCGAAGGCAAAGCAAAAGCATAGCATAGCATAGCATAGCATAGCATAGCATTGCGCAGCATAGCATAGCGCAGCATAGCATAGCCTAGCCTAGCCTAGCCCAGTATAGCATTGCGCAGCATAGCAGAGCAGAGCATAGCATAGCATAGCATAGCAGGGTTTTCCTAGAGGCATAAATTAGTACTATATGAAAAAGTGTGGGGACTATGTTTCTAGTATTTTTCGACCTCTTTGGGGTATGTTTGGGGTATGTTTCATTTGTCGTCGAAAATCCCCCTGTAGGGGGGTACGCCCGACATAAAGTTCACGGCACCCCCGTGTAAGCCTTTCCGCTAGCGCAGACGACCCTTGCCCCACCGCCGACGCAAAGAGTGTGTGCGTGTGCAGCTCTCGTCGCCTGGCGCGCACAAAGCCGGTCCCATCCGAGCCTCCTCCCACCTCTCGCCCGCCTCGTCAGTGTTTCTCCTCCTCTTGCTCCTCTTCCTCCTCCTCCTCCTCCTCCTCTTCCTCCTTTGCTCCTCCTCTTCCTCCTCCTCCTCCTCCTGCTCCTCCTCCTCCTCTTCCTCCCCCTCCTCCTCCTCCTCCTCCTCCTCCTCCTCCTCCTCCTCCTCCCTCCTCCCACTCCTCCTCCTCCTCCTCCTCCTCCTCCTCCTCCTCCTCCTCCTCCTCCTCCTCCTCCTCCTCCTCCTCCTCCTCCTCCTCCTCCTCCCGCTCTTCCTCCTCCTTTTCCTCCCCTTCCTCCTTCTCCTCCTCCCGCTCTCCCTCCTCCTCCTCCTCGTCTTCCTCCTCCTTCTCCTCCTCACCCTCCTCCGTCCTCTCCTCCTGCTATTGGCAGGGGGAGGAGGGGTCCCGGTGGAAGCGTGTCTTGGCCACCCGTGCTTTCCCCAGGACCAGTTTCTCGTTCAGTTTGTGGTTTCACCGTGGGTGGGGTTCATGGGAGTGCCCCCAGAAGAACCAGTGCCCACTGTTATCCAGGACGAGAGTTCTGCACATCATTGATATGTTCTCCCACTTACCTCAAGTTCTGAGGAGAGACGGTAATTAACATCACTGCATGGGTGAAGGGGAAGTTAGTACGTAGGAAGTCGCACGACTAGCATCTCGGGCGGAGATGTTAACAGCGATCCCGGATTCCACTGAATTTTCTCGGGCCAGGCGGTGACCAGCAATAGGCAGTTATCCACTCCCCGGTCCGATGTGGTATCTCTCGATGAATTATGCATCGGCACGGGTGTTGTATCATTGAGTTAATCTCTTCCTTGTGTCGTCGTCGTATTCGAGGGGCATCGTCCGCCGTGCCGCCTCGCCACCCCCTGCCCGCGACGCGTGCCACAGTGCTGCCCTGCTGGGGACAGACCCGCCGTGTTGGCTGTTCTCTCCCTCTCTCTCTCTCTCTAGTTCCATCCCTCCCTCCCTCCCTCCCTTTCGTTGCGGCACGGCAGGTTCGCGTCGTGTCGACCGGCGGCGACCCCGCCGCCGACGTTCAACGTGGAACGCCGCCGGCGGCCCCGAACCGGTTGATGTTGAACGATCCTGACGTTTCTTTATCTTCATGTTTGTGTTGGTCGTTCTGTGGGGCTTGTCATGCATGTTATGGGTCGATGGTTTCTGGCTGGGGTGCCCGAGATGGGCCTCGTCATTTATCCGCTCGTATTTGGCGTTGACGTGGGCGTGGTGCCGTTCCTTCTTCTCCTGGTGTTCGTGGTCCCCCTCATCATCTACGTGGAGCTGGTGCTGTTCACGCCCGTTTAGAGTTGAGGTCCCGTGGGATAAAATCCAGGCCGAGCGATCCCCGCGGCGTCAGGCAGGGGTGAACTTCAACGGTGCTTTGGCGACGTCGTGGGCCGTTCTGGTTTCGATGTCGTTTTGCGTTCAGGGCGGATGGAAGACAAGACGAGGGACAACGAGAACAGAACGAAAACGAAACACACCGTTCAGGTTCAGCCCCTGGCGTCAGGAACCAGTGCGGGGCTCGGCACAACACGCGCCTGCCGTGTGGCAGACGGCCGCCGCGGCGCCGTCGGAGCTCCGCGGACGCCCCGCGTGCTTGCCCCCGCGCTTTCGCCCCCGCGCTCCTTGCCCCGGCCTGCCTGCGGGGCGGGCCCGAGGCCGCCGACGCTGCAGCCCGATGCGATGTCGATGTCGACGTCGACGGATGCCGATGCCGATGCGATGCGGCTTCGGGCTCCGATCTGGGCTCTGGCTTCTCGGTGAGGCATAACGGCTCTGTCGAGTTCTGCCGATTCGTCTCCCCCCCGGACTCCGGACCTGGCTGCGGATTTTTGCCGAGTCGATTCGTTTCGATCGCCGATTCGACTCATCGACTCGAGTCCGGGCACTCCTGGATGCCAGGAGCCGCAGCAGGCCGCCCACCGCCGACAGCAGACGAGTCGAGGGGCGAGAATTTGCACTTCTGGCGCGCAGCGCGGAGCAGCGCCGAGCAGGTGACTCGCGGCATGCTTCAAGCGACCGACCCAGACACCTCCTCCTCCTCCTCCTCCTCCTCCTCCTCCTCCTCCTCCTCCTCCTCCTTCTCCTCGTACATCCCCTCTAATTCCGCCAGTTCCGAAGCAGTTCAGGATGCTCCGGCACCGAGCGATACGCAACTGTACGAGCAGCGTAGAGCGATTTTCCTCGCGAGAACCCGTGATCGCGAGGCGATTTGACGAAGGGGCCGTGTTCAGCAGCTCTTTTTGGGTCGTCCTTTCGATTTGTCTGAGGCGCCGTTACCTTGTAGCATCATCGTTCCTCATCCCTCCTCACTTGCCCTCTCTCGTGGTCCGCATCATTCGATTATATCCGACCTCCCATCTTACGTATCCTCTCTCATCATACTGTTCATGCTATTTTTCCTCTCCGCCTCGTACGCCTCGTCTTGTTCCTCTTAATCTCCTCTTCTCCTACTCCTCTCGGAGCTCATCATCATCGTTCTCTTCATCACATGACCTGCCTCATCCTCCCTACCTTATCTTCTCTTCCCGCCTCATCCCCGTTGCCTCTGCTGGGGACGAGGGGGAGGTAGAGGCGTCAGACCAGGAGGAGGCGCCAGTAGAAGAAGGGAGGAAGGACGAGGGACGAAGAAGCCAGGAAGGAGAGGGCGGGAGGAAGACAGTAGGAGGGAGGGAGGGAGGATGGTCCTCCTCCTCCTCCTCCTCCTCCTCGTCCTCCTCCTCCCCCTCCAGGGATTGCATTCCGTTGCTTGCCCGTGAGGCGGCCAGCGGGTGTACTTACTCGCAGACGGCCACACCGCCCTGGGGCTGCTGAAGGCACACCCAGCCGCGACGCCGCGCCTGCGCGGCGCTCTAACCGTGCGCGCCGCTGCGCCGCCATGGGAGCGCGGTTTCCGAGCGCTTCTCTCGGATTTCCTCCCCCCTTCCTCCTCCTCCTCCTCCTCCTCCTCCTCCTCCTCCTCCTCCTCCTCCTCCTCCTCCTCCTCCTCCTCCTCCTCCTCCTCCTCCTCCTCCTCCTTCGTCTCTCCATGTCCTCCAGTGCTCCCTCCTATTTGCTCCTTTCCTCTAGCTCCTGCACTTCATGGGCCCAGACGACTGCACCGACGCACAGCACGAGAACGGTCATGTCATGCGACCACGACGCGAACACACATTGTGACATCAGCGACGCCAGCTGGTTACAAGCAGAGGCACTCCTCACTCCTTCTCCTCTCCTCCAGCTCGTCCTTTAGTGTTCCCTCCCACTCCTCCTGCTCTGCCTTTCCCTCCCCCTCATCCTCCGTTCTTTTTCTTTCTACATAACTTTTCCCTGTCGCACCCCGAGGCCAGTCGGAAGGGCGGCCCGGTCGTTTCTCTTGAGACTTCTTTACCATCTATGATCCTGAAGTTTAAAGTGGCAACAGTTTCACGGGCGGAGGACGGGTGGTTTGCAACATATGGTTCTTGCCTCAGCGCCGCGCACACTCGTCTTAAACATAAGTTGATTAATTTCACGGATTGGGGTTGGCCGTTTTCAAAATGTGGCTCCCGCCGTCGCGCCGCGCACATTCGTCTTGCAAAATTGCAAGAGTTACACATATTGGGGGCGGTTCCTTTTCAACATGTGGTTATCGCCTAAGCCTCCGCGCACATTCGGTTTAACCAGTTGCAAGAGATTTACGGACTCCCATGGTTGACGTACCAAAAATGGTGTTTGGTAATGGTTCGCGGTTGTCAGGGAACAAGAGTCATACGATTCGCGATGTTGGGGTCCCGAGACTGGTGTTCTGGCACGGTTCAAGATTGCCAAGACGCAACAGTCAGGTTGATTCGTGGCGTTGGGGTCCCGAGAATAGTGTTTTGCCATGTTTCTGAATCTTCAAACGGTTGATTTCCAACGGGGCATTTCTTTCAGTGGATATGAATTCTCATGGGTGCCTATGAACAGGGAGCTTGGAGAGAGGGTGTATTCCAATATCGTTGATGAGTCTTGATTTGCGCTGGTCCTCCTCCTCCTCCTCCTCCTCCTCCTCCTCCTCCTCCTCCTCCTCCTCCTCCTCCTCCTCCTCCTCCTCCTCCTCCTCTTGCGGTTGCCTGATGAATTCCCCCGTCGCCATTGTCACGCCGCGCTGCTGCGAGGCCTGCCGCGAGGAGGAGGAGAAGGAGAACGAGAAGGAGGCAGAAGAAGTGCGACGGAGTAGGGAGGGGGGGGGGGGGGCGAGTGCGAGGAAGGGGGGGGGAGGCGGGAACCGTGAGGCAGCGAGGGAGGAGGCCAGAGAGGTGCGAGGAGGGACAGCAGTGGGAGGGGGGCGGCGGCGGGCAGAGGAGCGGCGCTTGGCGAGGCGGGGCGCGGCCCTCCATTTTCTGGACGAGCGCAGGTCGCGAGCGGATTCGGGCGGGGCGCAGCACAGGTTATCTCCGAGGGCCGAGCGCCAGCGGTGTGTGGCCGCGGGCCGCCGTCGACGCGCCTCCCCTCGCCGGGCCTCCCGCTCGAGGGCCGAGCTTCGAGGCTCGCAGGCTCGCGGGGCGGCCTCCCTGCCCCTCCCGGAGCCTCCTGGGGAGGTCTCGTCGCCACGGCTGGATCCGCCTCGGCGTCCTGGTCGGAAAGCACCGCGGGGTAGGCTTAGGCGTCGGTTTGTTGTACCCTTGGCCGAGACCTGGGTACTCTGGATGGCTCTCCTGGAGTGGCTTCTCTGGATCAGGCTCGTTGGAAAAAGGAGGTGGGCGAGAGGGAAACGCCAGGTTCGCGCCTCGTTGACGCGGCTGCGAGCCCAGAGCGATCATCGCGATGCGAACTTGCTGTAAGGAACCGGCCACATGTGAGCCATGCCCCCCCCCCTGCGGGTTGGATTCTTCCCCCACAGCGTCGTGGAGCTTCGCTGCAGGGTCCCAGAGCCAGGTGACAGCGTCTTCCCCGGCAGCTCTTTCCAGCTGGCTGCTCGCCCTCCTCCTCCTCCTCCTCCTCCTCCTCCTCCTCCTCCTCCTCCTCCTCCTCCTGGAGGGCAGGGGTGCGCACGCATGCCCCCTCCTGGCTTGGCCAGGCAGCCATGTGCACCGACCTTGGGCCCGGGGTTGGATCTGGCCACGGCGTGCCCAGCCCCGCCCCTCTTGCGTGAAGGCGGGCACGCCCCTCCACAGGAGGAACATCCAAAAATAGCCTACACCTTAGGCGATGCTTAAGAAAACTTAAGTTTTCGGCCAGAGTCTCGATTCTTCTTAACGTTTCAATGTACATCTGAAGATTTTGATAGACATGTTGGGTTTTTTCTCAAGTTCTGAGACTATGAATTTCTTAACCCATGATTTCTTAAGCATTTCGCAGGGTGTAGGGACGATGTCTTGACCGTGTCTGAGCCTGTGTTGCACGTGTTTGGACCGTGTTTTTCATTGCCGTCCCAGCTCCGCTATTGGGAGGACACGCCCGACCGAGCTCTTGCAGATCAGCACCTGCTGCACAGTTGCGTGAGAGCCTCCCCGGGCTCGAGCGCTGCTCGGGCGAGCTCGGTCCGGCCCGCCGGCGTCGCGTCATCGGGGGGGGGCGATGGGGGAGCGAGGGCTGCAGGAAGGGGGCCCCTTTGAGGCCCCCGAAGGGCGCCTTTACAGTCGAGGCCGATTAGCAGGTCGACCCTGCCTCGCGATGGGGTGCTCTGTGCCCGTGCTTCGCGACCCATGCCTCCTACGTTCCTGCGGCGGTGTGGCCCTCGGAAGGGCCTTGTGTCCTCTCGCGTGTCCCCTCCAACCAGCCCCGACTTCGGGCCGGACGAAAGGGGGGGATTGGGAAAGAGGGGGTTACGAAATTTGCTGCATGCAGCTGGTTCCGGCCCCGCCGAGGGGCCCATTCTTCGATACATGGGCGCTTCCCGGCGCCGGGAGGCGCCGGGAAAATCAGCTACGTGAGCTGATTCTCAAACCCCCCCTTTGCTATCCCCCCCTTTCGCCCGACCCGACGACTGTGGGGCCCGATGGGTGCACCCTGCTTCCTCCCCCCCGTTTGCCGCCCCCCCCACCCCACGAAGCGACGCCCAAGTGCGGGAGGGGGCCCGGCGAGGAAAGCCAGGGGCAGGGCGGTCGGGGGCCCGCCGGGGCCCACGCTGGGGCGAGGGGCAAAAGGGAGAGGGCGATGGCCAGGGCGACGTGAGGAGCGAAGGAAGGACATCGGGTAGCTGGTCGAGGGAGGAGGGGGGGAAGGAGAGAGAGGGGCGAGGTGCGGGAGGGGAAGATGGAGCAGAGTGGGAAGAGAGGACGTGCGGGGAGGGGGGAAGGAGGCGGCGGGAGGGGGAGAGGGAGGGGGAAGAGGCAGAGGGGAGGAGATGTGGCAAACGAGGAGTGAGGAGGAGGGGGGAGGATTCAAAGGCCGAGGGGAGGAGGACGGGGAGGCGAACGGGGGGCAGGAAACTGGGGGAGGCAGAGAGGATGCAGGGAAAAGTCCTGGGGGCCGGCCTCGTGCGCGCCCGCGGAGGGGCACGAGGCCCGGGAAAGAAAGACGGGCCGCCGACGACGACGAGGAGGAACGACGACGGCGAGGACGACAAACGATACGAAGCCGACGACGACGACAACGACGACGACGACGATTGAGTCGGGCCGGGCCCTCTGCAGGGGGGGGGGGGGAAATCAGAAATAGTCAAAAAATAGTCTGGGGACGATGTTTGGGGTATTTTTCGGCATCTGTGGAGTATTTTGCTGCGTCTTGTTTTATTTTTCGTCCGAAGTCCCATGTAGGGGGACAGGCCCGACCTACGACGACGACGACGACGACGACGACGACGACGACGACGACGACGACGACGACTAAGTCGGGCCTGTCCCTCTGCAGGGGGGACAAATTCGGAAGTAGTCAAAAAATAGTCTGGGGACCATTTTTTGTTGTTTGAGTATTTTGGGGGGCATCTGTGGAGTATTTGTTCTGCGTCTGTGTTATGCTTCGTCCGAGAGCCCCCTGGAGGGGGACAGGCGCGGCGCGCCGCCCCCTCGGCTCTGCCCCCTGCGCGAACGACCTGGGCACGGAAAGAATGGGTGGAGGAGGAGGAGGAGGGGGAGGAGGAGGAGGAGGAGGAGGGGGAGGAGGAGGAGGGGGAGGAGGAGGAGGAGGAGGAGGGGGAGGGGGAGGAGGGGGGGGGAGGAGGAGGAGGAGGAGGAGGAGGAGGAGGAGGAGGAGGAGGAGGAGGAGGAGGAGGAGGAGGAGGAGGCGGAGGCGGAGGAGGAGGAGGAGGACAGCAGTTCCTGTTCCCTCTGAGCAGGACTCGCTGTCCGCGCCGCCGCGGCCCGTGTCCATTCGAGACAGGGGGCCGCCCGCCCAACAGCGGCCGCTGTCGGTTTGGGACAGCACTTGTTGCTGGGCATTGTACCCCTTCTTTCCGTACCCACTTCTCGGATGTCCAATAGCCCGCCCAGGGAAGTTGCGGGACGGCAAGGGGCCGAGGCGCCCTGCGAGAGTGAGGTCGGGCCCGTCCCTCTGCAGGAGGAGTGTGAAGAAATGGTCCGGGGACGACTTGTTTTACTACCTTTGGTAAGGTTGGGATGACTTGTTTGATTATGTTTAACGTTTCGTCCAAAATCCGCCTGTAGGGGGACATGCCCGACCGAATGCTAGAGGGACAGAATGGGCATGTGGAGCCCAGGGTGAATACCCGCAGGGAGCCCCACAGAAGTCGCGGAGCCATAAATTTCTAGCGTAGCGATCATCACGAGCCTGATCACAGCACTTGTCTGTGGGTCACAACCCGCCAGGAGTCGGTCCAGGCGCCGTTTTGAGATATCGGACGTACTTCTGCTATGACAGATCCGCTGGACATTGGTTACATTCGTGCGCCTGTATGCCGCACATGGGCGGCTGA